TATTATTTCTTTCTAGATGGTCCGAAATTATAAGAGGTTGACGGAAAAGGCTAGCTGGACTAAAGAAGCCATGACAGAGGCTTGTGCCCAGGTAGCCAGTGGAAGAAGTGTAAAAAGCGTGGCTAAGGCTTTCAACATTCCAAGAACATCTCTTCGAAACCAGTTGAAAAAGGATACACCCCAAGGTCCCAAGATGGGGAAAAATCCTGTTTTTACCGAAGCACAAGAAAACGAATTAAAGAATCACGTTTTACTTTTATCCAAGTTATATTTTGGTCTAACAACCACTCAAATAAGAAGAATCGCGTTTGAATATGCCCAAAGGAATAATATTCCCAACAAATTCAATGAAAATTCTAAACTCGCAGGTGAAGGGTGGTTGTCTGGTTTCTTAAAACGTTGTGGCGACGTCTCATTAAGAAAACCTGAACACACAAGTCTCAGCAGAATTCTAGGATTTAACAAAAGGATGTTTCCACTTTTTTTGAAAACCTCAACGTGGTTTACGAAAAATATAAATTTTCAGCGTCTCGCGTATTCAACTGTGACGAAACAGGTATCAATACAGTTGGCAATGCTGTAAAAATATTAGCCAAAAAAGGGCAAAAGCAAGTTGGACTCGTTTCTAGTGCAGAACGTGGATCAAACACCACAGTCGTCTGTTGTTTCAGTGCTGCGGGATACTACGTACCTCCAATGTTTATATTTAAACGTCAAAGAATGACACCACTGTTAGAAAGGGGTGGACCACCAGATGCTATTTACACGTGTTCAAAATGAGGCTGGATAACTGAAGAACTTTTTGTGAAATGGCTTGAACATTTCCAAAAAAATACGAAATGCTCGTTGACTGAACCTGTGCTCCTTGTTCTCGATAATCATTCGAGTCATGTGTCATTGGCAGCATATAACTTCTGTAAGGCCAACGGAATTGTAATGGTATCTTTACCCCCACACACGTCTCACCGCACCCAACCTTTAGACGTTGTTTTCTTTGGCCCTCTTAAAAAAGCTATGAATGTTGAGATTGACCTTCATCTAAAAACCAAACAGTACGAACGTGTTGGACAGTATGATATTGCCTCTATATTTAGTTCTGCATATGGCAGAGTGGCAACTATGGACAAAGCAACTAAAGGCTTCCAGTGTACCGGAGTATTTCCCCTAAATCCACATGTGTTTGCTGAAACTGAATTTGCAATAGCCACTGAAGATGATAGCATGGAGACAGATCCATCTGCGCCACCCACTGAAAATGATATCATGGAACCAGGCCCATCTAAAGTCGAAATGAACACTGGAAAGGTTACTCAACAAGACTTTCCAAAAACAGACAGTGTTGCTGGATGTTCAAACGAAACATTAACTATTCCTGACAGTGTCGGATTAAATATTTCCTTTGCTGACATTACTCCAGTTCCTCAAAAACCTACCAACAAAGCCAAAACCGTTCGTAAAAAAGGTTCTTCAAAAATATTGACTTCAACACCTAACAAAGAAGAACTAATTGAAAAAGCGCTTAAAAAGGAATGCAAGAATAAGAAAATAAAAGAAAAGAAAGTGATTCAAGTAAAAAAGAAGGTGTTTAGTAGCTCTTCTTCAGAAAGTTCCGCTGAAGTTCACCTAGACGATGAAGGCCTGGAAGATGAAGATTCTGATGAGGAAATTTGTTTAGTTTGTGGAGACTATGGAAGAAAAAGTGAAATTTGGTTTAGGTGCACTATGTGTGGAAAATGGGCCCACAAAGACTGTAGTGGATGTGAAAGAGCTAAGCGATATATGTTTGCGACTTTTGTAAATGATTCATTTTACTTCATTATTTAAAAAAAAACATTACTTTCCTATGTTATTCTTATAATTTAAGTATGTATTATGTGTTTATTTGATTAATGGGGCAATAAAGCCACACGTGGCGTTATTACCCCATATAGCGGGGCAATCAGGCCAACGCCTATTTCTTGGATTTTCAAGTGAAAAATAAAATCCTTTCGAATTCAATATTTGTTTGACTTCTTTGGTGATAGATAACATAGGGATGGATAGTATGATCCAAAAAAGAAATGTATTTTCCCAAAATTTCTGTGTGATATTTCAAGTTTTCCTTAAGGTGGCCTCAATACCCCGGTCTCCCCTATTTGCTTGTGCGAATATGCTTCTTCATCAAAATTTTTCCCGGAGAAGTCAGCCAAGATGGCAATGCGAGTCGTCCGTAGTAGATCTTCTATTATGATGAAACATTCTTTCATGTGGAGTGACATTCGTTGCTGTCCAGAGGAGATATCTGATGCAGTATATAATGATTCATCCAGAACAGATTCCCCATCTAGACACATTCAAGTTTTGCGATTTCAGCGCTAATTGAACTGTTCTCCAAATCGTACCATTCTCTCTCTCTATTTGCCGATTTCCTTGTGGATTGTAACTGGTAGTTCTACTGGTAGCTATTTCTCGCTCTTGCAAAAAGTTCAAGTCTGAAGACATGAAAGCAGATCCATGATCTGAGTGTATAAAATTTGGCATTCCAAATAGTTGAAAAATACTTGTCAAGTGCTTCTTAACGGAAGCTGCTGAAACATCAGGGCAGGGAATAGCAAATGAAATAAATCGGGAGTATTCATCGGTTATAGTGAGTATAAATTTATTGTTTGTCGAACTTGGTAATGGACCTTTAAAATCCATGGATAATCTTTCAAATGGAACTGCTGCTTTTACTAATGTTCCTTTATTTTTGAAAAATCGAAGCTTTACTTGTAAACAGACTAAACAGTTGGCAATCATTTTCCTAATATCTTCAACTGAATACGGTAGATTGTAGATTTTTGCCACGAACCACGAACCCAATAAATCATTCTCGTGGCACCTGGATGACATAGACTGTAGTGCAGAGATTTAACAGTTTCTGTTGTTCTTCTTTAGTATTTATAACAACACAAATCCTTGATAAAGCATCAGCCACTATGTTTTCTCTTCCTGGTTTATATACAATGTCATATTTCTAACAGGCCAATTTCAACCGTCATCGTATTTTATAATTTTTTATTTTTACTGCATGCTTATCATCAAACATAAAAGAAACAGAGCGTTGATCTGTTATTAGTTGAAAAGGTCGTCCAATTAAATAATGTCTCTATCTCCGAAGCGATTCGACTATAACAAACGCTTCCTTTTCGATTGACGAATGACAGAGTCCTTGAGAAAAATGCTATAGGATCTCCATTTTGTGATAAGCAACTTCAAATAGCAGGGTCTGATGCGTCTGTTTCTACTGTGAATGTGAGATTTTCATCAATGGCAATGACAACAGCTTTTGAAATATCTTCTTTCGGAGCTTTGAAAGTCGAGCTTCTTGTGACATAGGAAATGATTGTGTTTGTACGAGTGGTCTGATTTTATCCAAAAATCTTGGAATCCATTTCGCATAATGGTAAAACATTCCCAATACTCGTTTTAATGAAGAATAATCTCCTGGTGGAGGCAATTCTAAGAATGGACGAAGTCGACCTGGGTCAGGTTTGAGAGTTTATAGTAAGTTTATACTTTTCAGCAACTTTGAAAAATTTTTGAAAATGTTTGTCATGCTCTTCTTGAGTCTTACTACCTACTGTGATATCATCAAGATAGGCATATTTGCCTTGAAGATTTTCTTTCTTGAATATACTGTCAACAACTCTTTGAAAACTAGCAACTCCATCGGTAACACCAAAAGGAATTCTCGTGATTTGATATAGTGCGCCGCACGCCCCAAACGCTCTGTATAAGGTTTTTCATGTTCGAGAATTGAAATTTGGTGATATGCACTCTTTAGATCTATAGTGCTGAAAACTTGGTACCTTGACACTTTTAAAATAATGGCTTCTATGTTTAGAAGTGGATATGCGTCTAATTCAGTGAATTTGTTTATAGTCTGGGCATAGTTGATTACCATTCGTCTCTAATGATTTGTACTGGAACTGACTAAAGCTTGAGCTCTCCAAGGCGAATTACTCTTTTCAAAGATACCTTCACAAAGCATTTTCCGGACTTCTTGTTCGATAAATTTCAGGTCTTCTGGTGATTGTTTCTTAGATTTAATAGCTATAGGTCTGCAAGTGTTATTGAGATTCGTGAATAGAGATGCAGGAGTAACATCTGCTTGCATCAAAACGCATACTTTCAAAGTAGGTATCCAGGTTTCCATTGAATGACATCTCAAGTTTAGAATGATGTAGAAAATCGTGTCCAAATATAATATCTGAGCAAAGATTTTTCATAACCACTTATGTCAAGTTTTCATATGTACGGGTATTTGTTTCTAGTGACACAGTAAAACTTCCTTCAACTTGAGTGACCAATGATATTGACGCCATATTCACTCGCTGCTGAGCAGGAATTTGTGAAATCTTAAGTTGCTCAAGAAGAAAGCGTTTATGAAACTTGATGTACTTCCTGTGTCAATAAGATCTTTAACTGGTTGTCCACAAATTTTTGCATCAATTGTAACTTTTGCAAGTCCTGGTGTCGAAGCTGCAGTCTCGATAATTGCAGTAGCGATGGAAGCTGACGTTGTCCAAGAGGCATGATTTTAACTGTTACAAACTCTGGCGAAATGTCCTTTCTTGGAACATTTTTGACTAGTAGCATCTGAAGCTGGACAAAGATATCTAGGATGATGTGATCCTCCACAAAACCAACATTTCGCTAGATTCTTGGTAGAAGTAGCTAAGATTTGATTTGAATGATCTGACTTAGAATTTGAAGTATAGTCAATTGAAGTAGCATTGATAGAATTTTGTACGAAGCTTTGTGAGTGAATTTCAGCCATTTCTAAAGATTGAGCTTGATTGAGACTAAGGGTTGTATTTTTAAGCAATCGAGTACGTATAGAGGAGTTGTTTAGGCCTTTTATAAAAGCATCCCTGATGTAGCCATTCTTATGATCTTCTGCAGTAACAGCTTGAAAATTACATTCAGTAGCTAAAATAAAGTTTAAGGATTGTAGATATTGGTCTATAGATTCGGAAGCTTGTTGTTGACGGGTCGCTAATATATGTCTAGCATAGAGATCATTTTTAGGTTTGATGTAAGCTTTCTCTAGTATGGCTATAGCGGAAGCATATGTCGAACATTCACTCACCAATGCATACACATTAGGAGCTATATGATTTATCAGAAGTTGTAGTTTAATTTAATCTCTGAGATCTTCAGTTTTAGGCTTGTTGGCAACAAGAAAATTTTCGAATGTCTTCTTCCAATGAGTCCATTCCAGACTAGCAGAGCTGGTCGACGAATCTTCTTCAAATCTTTCTGGACGATAGAAACGTTCCATTTCTTCGCTGATTTTTTTTTTAATTTCGTGTCTAATAAATTGTAATGAATAGAACTTCCGAATTATACCAAAATATTGGCTTTATTAGACAAAGAACTTGACATAACAAACTGATTAATGCAATGACAATCATAGATGAGAATAACATATCAAAAGAACACTTTACAAGTACTTGTAGTTTGTTATAAGTTTGTACTGTTAAGGAAAGTAAACATAATAGTATGACAAAATGACATAACAAAAAAGAGAATATCTTATCATTAATAATAAAAAATACTAGGTAACCAAAAAACAGTCGTTAATTAAAAACCGAGTTAAAAACTAAACTTATCTAAATAACCCAAACCAACCCAAAAAATTGTTCGATGTGCCTTCGCATACTGTTCAATACATTGTTGGCACCTTCTCTGGACAGCATCACAAACATATGGTGTTACTATATATAGAAAATATAACATAACGAGTTATTTCCTCTTATATTTCAACATTTTCTGGGGATTGAAATTCATAAATCTCGTTCTTCCAGACCTTTCAGGTGCCCCATAGGAAAAAGTCCAGAGGCTTGATATTTGGGACGACCTATGTAGCTAGAAAACTGGACCGCCATTAGTCCGTCTTCAAAATTCGCTAAACAGCATACAATCAAATTTTTATGGAAGATGAAGGGACCAAAGATTTTCGTCTATTTGGGATAATTAAGATTCAGTTCTATTCAAAAAAAGATAAATGAGGATGATGAACTTTCTTATCAATCTGCACTAATCATTAAATCCGAATCGAATTTGGTTTTCATTAACAAAACTGAAGTTTTCGGGGGTCTCTCATTCTTCTTCTTTGTCAACCTCTATCCATCTACTATCGTCCTTGCAAACCATACAATGATCTAAATTTATTCCAAATGTGTTTCCCTTTTGCCTTTTATTTTTCATTAAAATGTTCTAGAGAAATGGTCTCTTTCACTAAAATTTAAATACGTAATTTAAGTATAAAATCCCGAAGGAGGGACTATTTTAGGCATATATACCAAAAAAAAATGTTCTACAAGGTTAAATAAGTTTTTTACAGGCATTTGAAATTGGCGAAATTCAAAATAATTTAATTCATAACTAATTAATTTAACTACTTTTCATGATATTTTGCCAACATTTCATAATTAAATCTATTACAAATTTTCAATGTTGACAATTAGTGACAACACGGTCAAATTGCGAGCTGCGACGTCATAGAAATAAATTCTGGGTTTTTATTTGGAGGTATTTCTTTTTTTTCTGTTTTCTCAAGGACTTTGAATTTTTCAAAAGTAAAAATACAGAAAATTCTGTTTTTAGTTTCTTTATCCAAATATGCCAATTTCAAAAATTAGTGAAAGAGCATATTATCCAGTGGGCTAGTGGGCTCTTGATGCAATTTCGTAACATTATTTTAAATATTTCTACCAAACGATTTTAAAAATTGCCAATTACCGTAAAAATGTATGCTGACGCATTCACCATTTTTAAAATATAAATTTATAAATGATATTCACAGTCCTAAATAATGTGTTTAGGGAAAAAAGCCTACCTAAATTGGAGCTAATAGTGATACAGACTAAATTTAGGTACTGAATTTGTCTGCAGTTTCTTAAAGTACCTACAAGCAAAAAAATTACTGCTCCACCTATATGTTGCGTATTCTATTTAATAACAATTAAAATAATATAGAATTTATTTAGAACAAACAAATCAGGATAAATTATTATTGTAATACTTATTTGCAATACTTATTAGAATTGAACAAAAATAATAAGCTGAAGAAGCAATAAACAATAATACAATCTTCTTTAGAATAAATTTCAGTGTAGTGAATATCCACAATAATGTTTTGGAGCTTAAATATCCAGAACTTATTCCATTTTTGATAGTGAATCAATAAATTCTTCCATAAATTGGTTGGGGCCAAGTCTTTGTATTTCAAGCCTAGCTTCCGATTCCAATTCTTTCAATTTTTGTCTGGTATATTCGAAACTACCAAACTTTTCCAGTAGGGCGACACAATATTTTTTTACTTCAACATCTTTGGTGCGTTGCTTTAAAATATCTATAAATAGTTAGTTAAGAAAGCCATTTTTTTTTTTTTTTGAAAATATAAAAGGATATGGACAGTATAGAGAATTAGCAAGTGATGAAAATGGACAACAGCTGATAAACTTATGTGCTTCTCACTGAGAATAATGAACGGACTTCAACCCCACAAAGACATCCATAAATTTACCTGGATAAAGCCTACCAAAGGACTAAAGTCTATCATAGACTATGTAATCAAAAGACAATAAAAATAAATGACATAAGGGCGTATCCTAGCGTGGAATGCGGATCAAACCATCATCTGGTTATAAGCACAAGCAGTGGTAAATTTCAGGAAAAAAGGAAATCGACTAAACATTTGAATACAAATATATCCAAATTAGATACAGTAGTATAATCTCGATAGTTTTAGAGATGAGTCTACAAAATTCTTGTATAAATTTCGACTAGCAGCACATCTTCGGGAATATTCGAGTTGTGGACTTAACAACGCAGCAGAAAAATATGAACAAATTACAAAACAAAATTCATGCAGCAGCAAAAGAAGCGCTCGGCAAATGGTGGTCAAAAGAACTAGAAAGGCTAACAAAAACCAAAAAGGTAGCCTACCAGAAGTGATTAAACTCGGCAAATGCAGAACATTGAAGGATATTTAGACAACTGAATAGGAACGTTAAGAAATAGGTGGCAAGGCAGAAGAACAAAACATGCAATGCGAAGAGATAAAAAGATATTTGGGATACTCAAGAGTGGTAGCAGCGTGGAAAGCTACAAAAAGCACGTGAGGAAAGGTAGAAAGGGCGCAGTGAATGTCCATATAATATGTATGGAAGAATGGTGGTGAACACTACCAGAAGCTGCTGACACTTGACAGAGGAAAGAGAACACTTCAAAAGACAAATTGAGAGGAGATTGGAAGATGAAGTACATCATGTGGCCATAACAGCGAAAGAGGTTTCAACAAAATATGCAACATATGAAAAATGAGAAGGCTCTGAGGCCAGGAAACATTCCTATGGAGCTAGACAAATGTGCGACACAGATAGTGATGGAAATTCTAGCAGCAATGATCTGTTTCTAAGAGGGCACACTATACTTCCAGACTGGAACATCTCACACATAAGTTCCATCCACAGAAAAGGAGATCCAAAAACTTGTGGAAACTATAGAGGAATAAGCACCGGAATGAGTGTGACTAGTTCTTTGGGAGGTTATACAGCCGAATTTTAAAAACAAGAATTGAAATGGAACTTTCGCATTACAACAAATCATAGAAAAAAGGAAATCTCGAAATCTGTCCACACACCTGATTGTGACCTCAAGAAAGCCTATTATACAGTGCCTTTGCGAAAACTTATTGAAGTTTTGAGAAAGACTAACCTCAGTAAAGAATATACACAAGTAGGAAATCAAGCTTCTGAAAATTTTAACATTACAAAAAGACTAAAGCAAGGTTGCTGTTTAATCACCTACACTGTTCAAGATATACAATCAGGAGGCCTTGGAGAACTGGAGAAATAAGTGCTCTGGTATAGGAGAACCAGACTATTCTTTGCAGACGATCAGGTAGTGATAGCTAGTTCTGAAAAGGATCTGAACATCAGAACGAAATATAAATAACAGAGTAATCAAGGTAAAAAATGCGTTAACATTCTGAATTATTTGTTGTGGAGTAGTCAGATTTCTATAAAAACAAAACAGACAATCTGCAGAGCAACTGTAGAGCCAATATTGACTTACGGAGCTGAATGATGGCAGCTATCGGAACGAAATAAAAGGAAGGTAAATACAGTGAAAACAGACGTTTTCAGGTAGGCATGTACAGTTTCAAGACTGGAGCATATGCAGAATGCTGAAATTCAAAGAACAGGAATATATACAACCACTGAAAGAATAGACACCCGATAGGTCATATGGTATGGGCTTGTTATGAGAATGGAGGAAGAGAGATAGATAAATACAGCATTGATGTATGTTCCATGGAAGAGGAGAAAGAGATGAAGACTGGCGCTAACATGAATAAATAAAATTTAAAAAAAAAGAATGATAAAGCGATAGATGAGGAAGAATGGAGGAACTGTAAAAATAGACCGCAACAATGATGATGAAAAGGATACGAAATATTTGCTTATCTTCAGGTCGACTGTGTATTGCATGGATAATTGGAAAACTAAACTTTCCTTCTGTAAGATCTTCACAGTAACTTTTATGAAGCATGTACTGAAATTTAAAAAAAAACTTTACCACCTAAAGGCAGGGTTGGAAAAAACCCGGGTTTTTTTGAAAAAGCCCAACCCGTCGGGTTTTTTTGGGTTTTTATGGGTTTTTTGTTTTTTTTTTTGGGTTTTTTTCTGGCTTTGCGGGGGTTTTCGTTTTTTTTCCTTCAAATTTGATTTATAGTTTCTGCTCTGGAAAAAGTACATATTACAAAAATTATGATTTTTGTCGCAAAAAATAAAATATCCTTACAAAATAATTAGTGATGTGAACAATCGAACGTTCTGATTGTGCTTTCAAGAACATTCGCGAACGTTCGCGCACGAAAAAAAGGTTCGTGCTGAATATTACCTTCGGAGCACATTGAGCACGATAGAGAATATTTAGCACGTCCTCAAGCACGATCCTAACGAATAAAATCACATGACGCCATAGAGTAGAGATATATTTATGGAAGCTGTTGAAGGCGGAGATATATCAAATATTGAGCCCGAGAACCAGGAAGCAACTTAGCAGCAATAGTTATTTTTTTTGTAAGCAAAGGTAGCGTTCTACTGGAAAAAAAACCCAAATTAGAATAATTATTGTTGTCAAACATGACACAAGACACAATTCACAAAATATGAGATTAATTATTATCTATTCACAATCTGTAGTCCAAAGGTACATGTAAAATTTATCACCTTTCAATGCTATTTGATAGGAAAAGGTGATAAATTTACCTGTACCTTTGGACTACAGATTGTGAATAGGATATATGTATTATATTTTCCCAAGAAGTTTGAGAATTTTCAGCACATTTATGAAGAATTTTCAGAATATTAAGAACTTCCAAGAGAAATTTGGGAATTTTGGGAAATTTGAGAAAAATCAGAATTTTTTTAGAAAAATGTTTTGTTTTATTCAGCGTCTGATAAAAAGCATAAATTCTCGGGTCCTGCTCGTTTTTGCTCTTTTATTCTCGTTAATTCTCGATCCTGCTCGGAGAACGTTCTCCTAAAATACTTGCTCGAGCATTTTACATCACTAAAAATAATGCAAGCCTCTTGATATAAATAATTACACTTGGCATCAGTGCACTGCCAAGTCTAAGCAATGGGAATCTGACGAAAATGCAGATTCTGATTCTCCTAATAGTAATAACTACTAATAATAGGTACTCATATTTCGTTTTTTTGCTTCATTAACAAAAAACTTGTTTATTTGTTTAATTCTCTATATAGGTAGGTACCATATTAAGAAAAAATGTTTTTTTTTTTTATTTAGTGTAAGTTCATCTCGTTTTCTAATTTCTTTTCACTGAAATGAATGACAATAATGTGATGTGTACCTATTTCTTACTTCATTTATGTTATGCCAGTTTTTGTGTTCATAAATAAATATGTATATGAAGTAAATGACGTTCATTCAACTGAAAATTTTCTATTTTTGAAAAAAACCCAATAGGTAATGGTGGGTTTTATCAATTGAAAAAACCCGAAAAAACCCACTGGGTTTAATAACCTGGGGAAATTCTATGCCAACCCTGCCTAAAGGCAAATTTTACCAACTCACATCTTTAGAATTCAAATTCATATAATCATCCCTTATTTGAAAATACAATCCTAAAATGCCTGTTATTTTTGTAAAGTCCTCTTTGTTATTGCTAAATAATTGCATAAGTCTAATGGCTAACATAAATAAACCACCAGTTTCTGAAAATAATAGGAATAATTTGAAAAGAAAACAATATTATTTGAATTAGATTACCTACTTCTTATGACCATTTGTTTATAATCATCTTCTGATGGACACATAAAATTATCTCTCCAATAAATTTCCATACCTTGGCCACGGTACAATTCCAAAATTTGTTCTAGTGCTATTGAAGTTGCCTAGGACAGGTACTGGTTGAAAATATCTTATATTCTTAAATATTTACATGGCTTACCAACCTCTGGATGCTGCAACATCTGAACTCTTTCTAAAGCTATAAATGATGCATAATTAGCTGCATTTATTGTACTAGGTATTCCATAGATTGAATGAGCAACAGGAATGCCTCTTCTTAGGATGGAGTTATCTTGGATATCATCTAGTCTTTAAGTTTTAAGTAATTATTAGCAAGATTTAATTATGAATTTGGAAGCAGTAGGTACTTACAATAGGCTAGAACTATGTAATATTTGTACGATATCCGTGACAATGGCTAGTTTCTCTTCAGAAATTTGTAGCCATAAATTGAACGCACATGAGAGTTTGGCACGAATATTTTTTCCAGGTACTTGTAGAATGTAATTGAATGGTTCTAACAATTTCTGAAAGAAAGTCACTCAATCAAATCTGAACATCAAAGGTACCATTTATGCAGATGAAGATCGAAGATGAAATGAATACTTTTTCTTCAATAGTTAATTTTATGAGGAATTTTCCTCTGGTTTTTGGTTTTGCAGGTTTATGATGTGACTCATAAAATTATTTCTTATGATTGAGAAGAAAAAATGGCATTGAACACATGTAGAAATGTTGCTTAATACCACTACACAAAATAATAAGATGAAGATGCAATTTTAACTTACCTCATCCTGTTTTTCATCATTTGTTTTGCTATGTGGTATTTTTGGTGAATTTTCTTGTCTCGCCATTGTGATGATTAATACGACAACGAACCTATAAATAAATCCGTGAATTATTTAAACAAAGGTTCACAAGCAAAGATAAAAATTAAATGATAATGCAAAATTCAAATTATTTTGTTATTTACTATTTATTTGAGGTTAGGAGGGCTGGGCAAGTCGGCGAAAATTTCGAAGTGGGCGACATCTATTAACGAATCTGTGAAATATAAATAAGGGGCAACCTGGTCACAGAATACCTGGTGAACCTAGGGGCATAGCTAGGGGTGAAGTTACGGGTGAACCATTGGGGGTGAACCAACAAATCTAAGCGAACAACAATGCCGATATCTATTATTAGGCAATTCAATCAATCTGTCAAAAAGGAAAATTCAATGTGGCGTGACAGCCAAGCAAGTTTGTTTTGAATAAGTTTTTATGCGTATTTTAAATTATTTTGCATACCTACAGTTTTGCTTACAAATTTGATTTTCATTATTTAATAAAATATTTGTAGACTAGGTACCTAAACTATTGATTCGAGTAGAAACTAGATATTTTTTTGTGTTTTTTGGCCCATGTGTGGCTGCCGCGCCATCTTGAATGTCACGTGGTTTGAATTGCCTAATACCGCTATAGGCAAGTAAATAGCTATTTACCTAACAAGTACGGATAATGAATTTTTCCTACGAGCGTGCGGAAAATGAGTTTTCACGCACTGATTTGCGTGCGGAAAGTACCACATTTCCGCGTGCGTGAAAAAAAATTTACCGCACGGCGTGCGCGAAAAAAGTTTTTCACGCACTGATTGTTATTTATGTATTTTTTTCAATTTTTCTCTTCATGTCATGCTTCTCAAAAATTTTAGATCTTTTTGAAATTCCTCCACCGTTTTTTCTCTTCAAGAAAGCTATTAGGTTTTTGTACTGACCAATATCGACCTCTTTAACAAGTTGTATACCATAAATAATTAATTCTGCTTATAATAAAAATAATTGTTAATGTTCTGTTGTTAAACTCCTTGAGTTACTAAACTTAATTAAAAAATCACATTTTTGACCATTTGTCTTTTCAGTAGAGCCAAAAACAAATAAAAAAACAATATGTCAATTTCCGCACGCTCATAGGAAAAATGTTGTACCTCTAACACGAGCATAAAGTATCTTTTCCGCAGTTTCGGCTTGCACCGTTGTGCAAACGCCGTTACGTGCGGAAAAGTATAACTTTACGCACTTGTTAGGTAAATAACTATGTCCCACGAGCGTGCAGAAAAGCTGTTTTTCCGCCCGCATTGGCCTGCGGAAAGAGTAATTTTTCCGCACTAGTGTGGAATTTACCTTACCTTAAGAAGGAACTTTGAAATGTCATAACTTCTTTTCTATCATAGATAGAAAGCTGAAACTTTCATCGAATTTTATCCCTTTCAAAGAACTACAATCCCTGAACTGAAAATTTCAGCTCATTTACACTTATAGTTCCTGAGATAAAATCGTGTTAAGCAATTTGGGGCGATTTATCAATTTTTCAATTTTTCTGAGTGCCTTATTTCATAGATTTCGGCTTCAAATCTGAGAATAATTTAGTGTTTGGAGTTTGGGGTATGTTGATTGTTCATAAGGATACAAAATCTCGACCAAAAAAAATTTGAAATTTCATCGTTTTAGTAAGAAGGTACCCCCCTTATGATTTTTTTGGAAAACTTTGAAAGGTCATAACTTTTTTTCTATCATAGATAGAAAGCTGAAACTTTCACTGAATTTTATCCCTTTCAAAGGACTACAATCCCTGAAAATTTCAGCTCATTTGCACTTATAGTTCCTGAGATAAAATCGTGTTAAGCAATTTGGGGTGATTTATCAATTTTTCAATTTTTCTGAGTGCCTTTTTTCATAGATTTCGGCTTCAAATCTGAGAATAATTAAGTGTATGGAGTTTGGGGTATGTTGATTGACCATTAGGATACAAAATCTCGACAAAAAAAAAATTGAAATTTCATCGTTTTAGTAAGAAGGTACCCCCTTTATGATTTTTTTGGAAAACTTTGAAAGGTCATAACTTTTTTTCTATTATAGATAGAAAGCTGAAACTTTCACTGAATTTTATCCCTTTCAAAAAACTACAATCCCTGAAAATTTCAGCTCATTTGCACTTATAGTTCCTGAGATAAAATCGTGTAATGCAATTTGGAGTGATTTATCAATTTTTCAATTTTTCTGAGTGCCTTATTTCATAGATTTCGGCTTCAAATCTGAGAATAATTTAGTGTTTGGAGTTTGGGGTATGTTGATTGACCATCAGGATACAAAATTTCGACCAAAATAAATTTGAAATTTCATCGTTTTAGTAAGAAGGTACCCCCCTTATGATTTTTTTGGAAAACTTTGAAAGGTCATAACTTTTTTTCTATTATAGATAGAAAGCTGAAACTTTCACTGAATTTTATCCCTTTCAAAGGACTACAATCCCTGAAAATCTCAGCTCATTTGCACTTATAGTTCCTCAGATAAAATCGTGTTAAGCAATTTGGGGTGATTTATCAATTTTTCAATTTTTCTGAGTGCCTTTTTTCATAGATTTCGGCTTCAAATCTGAGAATAATTAAGTGTATGGAGTTTGGGGTATGTTAATTGACCATTAGGATACAAAATCTCGACAAAAAAAAAATTGAAATTTCATCGTTTTAGTAAGAAGGTACCCCCTTTATGATTTTTTTGGAAAACTTTGAAAGGTCATAACTTTTTTTCTATCATAGATAGAAAGCTGAAACTTTCACTGAATTTTATCCCTTTCAAAAAACTACAATCCCTGAAAATTTCAGCTCATTTGCACTTATAGTTCCTGAGATAAAATCGTGTTATGCAATTTGGAGTGATTTATCAATTTTTCAATTTTTCTGAGTGCCTTATTTCATAGATTTCGGCTTCAAATCTGAGAATAATTTAGTGTTTGGAGTTTGGGGTATGTTGATTGACCATTAGGATACAAAATTTCGACCAAAATAAATTTGAAATTTCATCGTTTTAGTAAGAAGGTACCCCCCTTATGATTTTTTTGGAAAACTTTGAAAGGTCATAACTTTTTTTCTATTATAGATAGAAAGCTGAAACTTTCACTGAATTTTATCCCTTTCAAAGGACTACAATCCCTGAAAATCTCAGCTCATTTGCACTTATAGTTCCTCAGATAAAATCGTGTTAAGCAATTTGGGGTGATTTATCAATTTTTCAATTTTTCTGAGTACCTTTTTTCATAGATTTCGGCTTCAAATCTGAGAATAATTAAGTGTATGGAGTTTGGGGTATGTTGATTGACCATTAGGATACAAAATCTCGACAAAAAAAAAATTGAAATTTCATCGTTTTAGTAAGAAGGTACCCCCTTTATGATTTTTTTGGAAAACTTTGAAAGGTCATAACTTTTTTTCTATCATAGATAGAAAGCTGAAACTTTCACTGAATTTTATCCCTTTCAAAAAACTACAATCCCTGAAAATTTCAGCTCATTTGCACTTATAGTTCCTGAGATAAAATCGTGTTATGCAATTTGGAGTGATTTATCAATTTTTCAATTTTTCTGAGTGCCTTATTTCATAGATTTCGGCTTCAAATCTGAGAATAATTTAGTGTTTGGAGTTTGGGGTATGTTGATTGACCATTAGGATACAAAATTTCGACCAAAATAAATTTGAAATTTCATCGTTTTAGTAAGAAGGTACCCCCCTTATGATTTTTTTGGAAAACTTTGAAAGGTCATAACTTTTTTTCTATTATAGATAGAAAGCTGAAACTTTCACTGAATTTTATCCCTTTCAAAGGACTACAATCCCTGAAAATTTCAGCTCATTTGCACTTATAGTTCCTGAGATAAAATCGTGTTAAGCAATTTGGGGTGATTTATCAATTTTTCAATTTTTCTGAGTGCCTTATTTTATAGATTTCGGCTTCAAATCTGAGAATAATTTAGTGTTTGGAGTTTGGGGTATGTTGATTGTTCATAAGGATACAAAATCTCGACCAAAAAAAAATTGAAATTTCATCGTTTTAGTAAGAAGGTACCCCCCTTATGATTTTTTTGGAAAACTTTGAAAGGTCATAACTTTTTTTCTATTATAGATAGAAAGCTGAAACTTTCACTGAATTTTATCCCTTTTAAAGGACTACAATCCCTGAAAATTTCAGCTCATTTGCACTTATAGTTCCTGAGATAAAATCGTGTTAAGCAATTTGGGGTGATTTATCAATTTTTCAATTTTTCTGAGTGCCTTATTTTATAGATTTCGGCTTCAAATCTGAGAATAATTTAGTGTTTGGAGTTTGGGGTATGTTGATTGACCATCAGGATACAAAATCTCGACCAAAAAAAATTTGAAATTTCATCGTTTTAGTAAGAAGGTACCCCCCTTATGATTTTTTTGGAAAACTTTGAAAGGTCATAACTTTTTTTCTATTATAGATAGAAAGCTGAAACTTTCACTGAATTTTATCCCTTTCAAAGGACTACAATCCCTGAAAATTTCAGCTCATTTGCACTTATAGTTCCTGAGATAAAATCGTGTTATGCAATTTGGAGTGATTTATCAATTTTTCAATTTTTCTGAGTGCCTTATTTCATAGATTTCGGCTTCAAATCTGAGAATAATTTAGTGTTTGGAGTTTGGGGTATGTTGATTGACCATCAGGATACAAAATTTCGACCAAAATAAATTTGAAATTTCATCGTTTTAGTAAGAAGGTACCCCCCTTATGATTTTTTTGGAAAACTTTGAAAGGTCATAACTTTTTTTCTATTATAGATAGAAAGCTGAAACTTTCACTGAATTTTATCCCTTTCAAAGGACTACAATCCCTGAAAATTTCAGCTCATTTGCACTTATAGTTCCTGAGATAAAATCGTGTTAAGCAATTTGGGGTGATTTATCAATTTTTCAATTTTTCTGAGTGCCTTATTTTATAGATTTCGGCTTCAAATCTGAGAATAATTTAGTGTTTGGAGTTTGGGGTATGTTGATTGTTCATAAGGATACAAAATCTCGACCAAAAAAAAATTGAAATTTCATCGTTTTAGTAAGAAGGTACCCCCCTTATGATTTTTTTGGAAAACTTTGAAAGGTCATAACTTTTTTTCTATTATAGATAGAAAGCTGAAACTTTCACTGAATTTTATCCCTTTTAAAGGA